TCGGGTGAACTATGCAAGATCCAGGGCCGGGATCTCTGCCTATTCCCCATGCCAGAAGTTGCTCATGTTCTGTGTGACTGTCATACGCGAATATGACGACGCCTCACCTCACCCATTACAGGTAATGCAGTTCGTCTGGAACTAATATTACCTTGGGTCCATCATATTTGACCCCAGTATCATGGTGATTTACTTCATCATCTCGCAGCTTCGTAAGTGTTTCGAGAAGATCTTTATGGGCTTCCGGATCGTCGGCGATTAGTTCTGCAATGAGAATTGTTCAAAAACTTGTTCGTTCGGGTTGGGTACGCATAATAATCTAGTACCTTTCAACTGGTCGTTATAATGTTGTCCGATCACCTCTTCTACAGCAACCGTACATGCCATGGCTCCTTCTTTACCAAGAAGTGCTGTGCCCACACCTGCATTGTGGGTCAAATAACTTACTAACTACAGTATGGCTGATTTATCACAGTTGCTATTGTGGAACAGGTGCATCCATTAAGGGATCGATGACGTGCTACTGACGTCACATAACAGTTAATTAGTGGTTTCAGTACGTCACTGACAACATTTCCTTGTCAATAACCTGTTATGTGACACATCTTTTGGTTTTCACGGACAGTGTACCTGCGCTACATCTGCTCCCTATGATAAAATAAGCACAGCTTTGCTGGCTACGAATGCTGAGGCGGGTCAGGTGGCTGGATCCAGCGCGTTTCCACCAACTATTGTCGCTTGCATCCTTCAACAACTGGTGGAGAAACGGCTGGCGCCGCGCCGGCCCGACCCGTCCTAAAGCACTCCAGCAGCGAACAAGACTGTGAAGTGTTGGAAGATCGGTAGCTACCATACCTAGGGCATATGCTGCGACACTGAAGATCGGCTGGAAAACAGTATGAGGGACATCGTGCTTCGCAGCGAGTCTTTCCATAATGTCCAAGTGATGTTTTTCTTCATCCCACATCTTCTTTATCACGGAGGCAACGGGAGATCCTAGAGATTCTACGGATCAGTGCTTCGACAGAAACCTTTGGCACCGGTTTTTTTTTTCTTTTCCTTGCCTCCCTTTACCCTTCATCTCGTCATACGAAAAAAAATGGGTAAAAAGTCACCCGAAACTGAGGCAAGAGTCTTCTCGCATAAACACCAATTAGCTTTGATCTATCCTCTCAAACTCGCTCACAAACTCGAATGGCTTATGAGCAGAGATGCTGAACACCACTCATCCACTAGTGTTTTTTTTATATGCTACTTGAGTACCTTGAAGAACAGCCATTTGTCCAGCATAAATACGATCTGCTCCAAGTTCGCCGGCGTGATCCACCCGTATGATTTTCTCCAGAAGTGCTTTTCGAGCAGCAGCTGAGTGGGCTGCACGGAAGAACACGCGATTCATCTGACAAAGGGTTCATATGATAGAGCTCATCAAAACTATTCCTTCTAGAGATGTTGATCAAGTTTTTTTAGTGATTTTTGACAACCATGACAAAGAGGATCTTGCTAAGTACCACAGCAAGGACAGAATTGATGGTAAACAGACCGAGGGAGATATCAGCACAGGGCTCCAGCCCATCGTTAGAGGGAAAAGAGCACCTGGCTGCACCAAAGTGAACTGTTAACAAGTAGCAGACCTGCATCCTGCGGTGCAGTGGTCCTCATTCATTTCATGAACAGCACACAACTCTTACAAAGAGATGTTGTGGGAGCATCTGTCAACATTCGGAACGCTAAATGCCGTTTGGACGCCGCCGCGACCTTACTAGTTGACGAGCTCTTTTAAAACGCCGTAGATCAACTAATTTGCTGAAAAGCTTGGTATATAGGCGTTATCAATATCCTTTTCAGCAATATGATCATTCATCACTGGGCCTTAAATGGATGGAAGACTACAGTTATCTTTCTGGTTTCAGCTTTAGCAAGGAAGGGTAGAATAAATCGTAGTGTTCTCCATTAGCGCCAGCACCAAAGAATGAATGTCATAGTTGTAATCAGGATGTTAGATTACACAAACTCTATACACAATTTTCAGCGGATTTTTGATTTAGGCACTTTAAAAATGATCTCGCAGCCAGAAGCCAGCGCGTCCAAACCGCATTAGCCTTCGGACTCCCTTCCAAGAAATACGTGTTTGTTGCCATTACTTTAGACACTTGGGAGAGTGGTCAGGACCCCCAGTAGGTCGAGTCACCTTTGTCAAGCCCCGGCACCCTGAGAACGATGAGGACTGTCTATAGCCAGCGATGTTGCGGAATAGAGAATAAGCGGAAGTAAAGTACCAAAGTAATTTCGTCCAACACGTAAAGCGGAGAAAAGGCAAGATTGATTTGTATACAATACTTTTCCAGAGCTCTGACTGTTCAGCGCTGCATATGAATACGATCATAAAGAACCTAGTTACGCTAACCCTTCGGTAATATTTACATTGAAAGAATTCGTGAACAACTGTTTGACTGAACAAGGTTTCTCAAAATGGAACTCAGAGGATCCAGTTCACTACACCATTTTTGGCGGCTAGTCCACGATGGAAAGGAGGACCTAGTGTGGCATGATGGGGGTATTTTGATGGTTCCTATCAATCATTTGCAATGCCTTCGAAGAAGATCTGCAAGCTCTGGAGTGGTGCGCTAGCACGAGCCCGCTCATTTTTAACAATAGTTTACAGGTCCAACCTAGTTAGACGTGTAATTTAACAGGAACTAACAACGGAAACTAGCGAAAGTGCGATTACCCCTCCTCCAGCGAACAGCGTCGAAAATAGAAAGGCACCATTTCGATTAGCATCTTCTTATTATACAGAGAACGAAAAATGGATAAAGGAGTACTGTAACTCAGTAAGACATAAGACTCAAAACTGCAAGAGAGACTTTGTTCTCGATTTTATCAAGCGTGAAACCATAACAAACGAATAACAGAACCCCCTTTTAGGAAATGAAAATATCACAGTACACAAAGGATAGCACAGATGCGGAGATAAACTCAGAAAGTGGTACTCACCATATTGAAAAAGATATAAATTAGCTATATTATTCGCCGACAATATGCGAAAGTTAGGCTTCTGAACTGCGACATATTCCAACCCTTTTCTACAGACAATCAACAACTTTCATACAAAACTTTGGATTAACAGTTAAAGAGTTATGACTATCAATGATGTTAATGATATGTTACACCATCATGACTGTGCCCGTGGGAAGCGCTGTAAACAAGAGGGTTGGTATATCCCTGTTGTACACTCGTTGGATTTCCATAACCACCTGCTCCATAGGCTGTGTTGTACGGGTTCATCTGAGGATTGGAACCATGTGAATTACCATGACTATGGTCATCATGCGAATGTCCATGACCTTAAATAAAGCATCACAAATCCATCTCAACGATAAGTATGTTTAGTTAGACACATTGCACGATTTCTTGAAAGGTGGATTTCTCATATCAGGCCCGCATCCGTAGTGTAGCACTCCTGTCATTCGAAAATGTCAGACAATGAAAGTAACTATGTGATAGCATAATGTACACTTCATCTCTGAGACTATTCGTGACGCGACACGCACGCCACACGACCTTGCCCGTAACCATACAACAGAGGCTGTCTTGGTGACACACATGACTGGCGCTCT